GATGCAAGGATGGAGGGATGGAGGGTTGCAGGGGTGCAGGGATAGAAGGATGCAGGGATGCAGGGCAGGATGCAGAGATGCAAGGATGCTGGGACGCCAGGATGCTGATATAGATGGATACAGGGATGCAGGGATGCGGGAATGCAGGGATAGAGGGATGCAGGGATGCAGGGCAGGATGCAGGGATGTGGGGATACAGGGATGGTGTGATGCAGTGATGAAGGGATGTGGTGATGTGGGGATAAAGTGATGCAGGGATGGGGTGATTCAGGGATGCAGGGGATTCAGGGATAGAGGGATTCAGGAAAGCAGGGATGCAGGGGATGCACGGATGTAGAGGATGCAGGAATGCCAGGATGCAGAGATAGATGGATACAGGGATGCAGGAATGCAGGGATAGAGGGATGCAGGGATGCAAGGATGTAGGGCAGGATGCAGGATTGCTGGGATGGAGGGATGCAGGGGTTGCACGGATGTAGGGCAGGATGCAGGGATGCAGGAATGCGGGGATAGAAGGATAGAGGGATGAAGGGATGTGAGGAAGCAGGGATGCAGAGATACAGGAATAGAGGGATGCAGAGATGAAGGAATAGAAGGATAGAAGGATGAAAGGATGCAGGGATAGGGTGATGCCGGTATGCCGGGATGCAGTGGATGCAAAGATGCGGGATTAGAGTGATTCAGGGATGCAGGGATGCGGCGATGCAGGGGTGCAGGGGATGCAAGGATGCAGGGATAGAGTGATTCAGGGATGCAGGGATGGAGGGATGCAGGGCATGCAAAGATGCGGGTATAGAGTGACTCAGGGATGCCAGGAGGGACTCAGGGATGCAGGGATAGAGGGATGCAGGGATACGGCGATGCAGGGATGCAGGGCATGCAAGGATGCAGGGATAGAGTGATTCGGGGATGCCGGGAGGGACTGAGGGATGCACCGCCCGCCGTCACCGGGAGGTGGCACAGCCCGAGCGCGGATGTCGCACCGGGTCGCGCCCCCGGCGCCGGGACCCCTCCAGAAAGCAGCGAGGTGATTCATCGCTTCCAGGAAAGCCAAGAAAAAACTCGCATCTTCTTTCTGGGAATGAAAAAATTCCGTTGTGCGGAGTTTCTTTGGCGTGGGGAGCAAACAAACAAACAAAAAAAAAAAGGCACAAACTGTTGATTTGGCTTGGGGAGAAGGCAAAAACGGCTTTGAGAGCACGGTGACACAAACCAGGAATTTCTTCTCCCAAAAAAAGAGAGTTCCTTCTCTCCCAATTTTCTTTTCTTGGGTTTCCATGTCCGAAGTGAGCTGGAATCTGTTCATCCCCCTGCAAGTGCTGTCCCTCAGTTTCCAGGAAAGCCCCGGGGCAGGGGATGGATGTTCTGCAAACACAAGGAATCGGATTGGAGATGTTGTGCAATCATTTCCTCAGCAGAGCCCATTTCTGGCTCCTCAGCCCTTTGTGAGAGGCARTCACAAAAATCCTCCTGTGAAATGTGTGGAGCCCTTGACGTGATGTTGGCAGGAGGTTTCTGTCCTCTCCTGAGGAGGAAACAAACAGCAGACTCCAGGCCAATTATTTCTCAAATTAAAACAACAACAAAAAAAAAATTAAACAAAAACTCCCCCTCTTTCACTTCTTTTTGTTATTCTTTCTGAATTCCTCCTTAGCATCCCGAGAGCCCTTGAGAGGATTTGCATTTGGGACATGAAATGAATTTCTCACAGTGAGGCCAAAGAAAACCAAGRTCTGTGGGTGGAGGAAGCTTTGGCCGTGGCAGCAAGATGTCCTCAGCTGCCCGTGGAGATAAAATA